CTATTCAACTTTGTGAGACGTTAAAAGGCAAAGGGTAGTGACTTGCTCCCCATCTGAGAGAAAAAGAAATGAGCTCTCTCGCCTCTCGCCTCTCGCTAATTGCACTCGATTCAACTTGATTTGTATCGGGGGATTAAATAAACCCACTGAAAGTACATTTCTGTTATCCATTTTCCGGAATCACCGATGATGGGGGGGGGGGGGGGGGGGGAAGAGAGAGAGAGACTAAAAGTATATATCAAAAATACGTTAGTGGTTAAATGGAATTTATTCCCTCCCTAAAAGCAATGTACGTCAAATATAACGTGCGAGGAGGTTTTAACCCATCGAAATAACACACTTTATACACCGCGATAGAGAAACGGAAATAGTACGTGGGTAAGTAAGGATGATATGTTACATAGGAATGGGATAAAATAAATTGAAACCCCAGTGAAAATCATTTCACCTTTGGACGTATACAGTTTTACTTCAATAGCCTTTTAACACTATCAAGTGACATTTTTTTGTTTTTCGAGTATATAATACTAGCTCTTTTCATCATTTTTTCATACACCAATTTTTTTTATTCATTTATTTATACACACCAAGTCGGCAGTTCTCTGTTATTAACTAGTGAATTAGTACAGTCAATTAATGACTATTTTGTGCTCAATTTGACACATTTTCGTTATATCGCATTTTATTGTTTGTAGGTGAATCTTTTACTTTCGGTTGACTCTTCATAAATTTATAGGCGCTTTTTCTAGTGGTCTGTACACGTCTGATAAATTACTTATTTGAATTAATTTATTTACATATATTGTTAATGGGAGATCTTTATAGGTTTAGTTTTTTTCCTGCTCATTTCCGAGAATAGTGGAGCCGTGAAATTTGACGACATTTGAAATTTCAGTCACCACGAAGTTATCCTATAAAACACATTTTTGTGCCTAATATCTTAAATAAACTCGTTCTCACTAGTTTTCACAGTGTAAATGAATGATTAAAAAATGGAATTTTATTTCTTATGTTTCACCGCTTTATTTCAATAATAATGAATTTTTAAAATTGAATTTCTTGGTGGAGTACACAGCCGATAAAGTGTGTTCACCACTGCACAATCCCTGTAATCCCTCTCGTTTGAGTGTGTCACCTATTTTTCTGAGAAGTCTCTCAAGGAAATGAAAACCCCTTCCGTTTTCTGTATGGCGATACGTTTCATTACTGAAATTGACTCGCGTATCGAGCTTTTCAACTGGATTGAAAAAGTAAACTACCAGTGTTTGTGCGGCAATATCATCTCACTGGAATCTCGTTGCTCATGTTTTCATTTTTTTTTTCAGCACATGTATTTGACATTTGGTTAATTTTTTACCAACGTTTCTTTTTGTGCTTTTTCTGTTAGATTTTGCTTCTTAAATAGTCAACTCGATGGTCGGACTGCACTCACGCGTGAAAATATTTCCATCAACTTCTTGCTGCAATATCTTTTTTTTAATTTTTCGCCATTGTTATATATTTAAATAGGAAAATTGATCATTCCAAGGACAATCAAACTTTCATTTCAGGCCATTTCTCCTTCATCCCATAAAAATTGACATTCCACTCTATTTTCTATTCCCCACGAATCCATGCCTTTAATTTTTATACTGAATTTTCGGTTTCTTAAAGTACAATGAAAATGATATTATCTTACTCTCTGTTTATTGTTTATTCTTATTATCAACGAATTCTCGTAACAATTTACTGGGGATTTTATATAACTGTAGGGGAGCATATATTTTTTTTCATATTTTGTACATAAGGGTCGAGGAAATGAACTATAATAAAGAAATGATGAAGGTAAATGTACCGTTGAAAATTTTTCACTTGAATTTGGGATTAAAGTTGAAAATGATGATTTTCAGATTTTCGGGAGAAATTACGGAATATTCTGGAAGAAAACTTGACTTGTATTTTAGAACATCCGTTATGAAAATTGTCACCAAATTCCAGACATAAATTTCCAACAGCCTATATTATCACGTTTCAACAGTTTCTTGAAGAAATTTTTTTCAAGAGTAAAATCGCCCGAACAACAGATTCTGATAGAGGAAGCAGAAGTAAACTTATTGGCTAAATAAAAGTTTATAAAAATATATCAACAAATCATAAATATATCCCCTAATCATTTTCACCTCCAACTATCGATACAACATACGTTCATCTAAAACCCATATACATTCACTATATACACATTACAAATTTATTTGAACAAATGAATTTACAACGATTTATTGATTAAAGCTCGACAATGGAGCTATTCAATAATTGTCAGACCGATTATTTCATGCAGTCGAAACAATTATCGTCATTCGCAATAAAATTGTTTCAATAGTTATGAATTATTTTGTTACAAAAACATTTTATTCGCAGGAATAAACTCACCTGCATTTACAACACAGCAGTATAGTGGAATTATTATTCATTTATTTAACGAAATATTCAATTAATACGACCACTAATAATTCTTTCAGTATCATTTTCCAATTGAATTATTTGTTCAGCGATTAATTCAGTGGATAAAACAATTGGTCAATACCAGTTCGAAACCCTCAAATTCTACTTCCCTGTTATACCCATCATATTCATTATACAAACAGTCTCTCTCATTATTAATTATCACTTACAAATGATTCTCTATACAATTATTTACATTACTTGGGGGAGGGAGCGATTATAATATCGAATAATTGTTTTATAGTGTCTATGCCGCTTTGTTTACTAGGTAAGGCCGGTTACAATTGAGATTTTTTATTCCAAAAAATGGCAATGAATTTAATTGTTATTTCTGATTTACTGAGGGGAAAAATATGAAAAAAAAAATATATATCGGTGAATGAAATAAACTTTATTTTAATTTCATTGGCGTTTTTATTCATTCCAAATGAATAAATGAAAAGAAAGTGTTTGGAAACTCTTAAATGATTTCAATCTTGTCTCACAACACGGAAGTATTTTCCCTCCCCTCAGTAACCAAATATTATTTAAACACATGAAACATGAAATTGATTCCGTTGAACCTCGAATATTCCCCCGTTAACCGGATAATTTCGTGGATGAATCAGTGAAAACCGCCGCTGGGGGTTTGTACGTGGCAGCCACTGATGAATTATCGACAGTCGAATCGTCCGTAAACAACATTAGAACATACTGAAGTGTTTACCACCACAAAATGTTCCAAGGTAAATTAATTCGGTTGTAGTTGGAGGAAGAGAGTGAGACAGAAGAGAACAATTGGACTAGTGTGGACACGGCTGTGGCCATTGCTGAAGCTTGATGCTTGTGTCACGTTTACCGATATGGATGCATCTGCGGTACCGGAGGGTGATCGTACGATCATTAGCCACTCACCCGCGTGGGACAACTGGACGGCTTCGATCTGCAGGCTTGTCCTGAAGCATGAAGCTACAGTACCACCATGCTGAAAGCAATATGTATTATACTTTCATTAATTCTTCAAATTCACTCTCTTCCGTAACGCAATAAAAAATGCGGTATTGGGATTTAGTTTTTTCAGTAGTCTGTAAAAATCCCCATAAAACCTAAAAATCACCCCTGAATTTACCATAAATTTCTCCATCCCGCGCGTAGATCAATCGTTGAGATTGGAAAAAGGTTCCCCCTTCCCCCTTCCCGCTCCCCGGAAAATGTAGAAAGACGCGTCTGGAGGGATGAAAAATTGTCGGGGTCAATCCCGAGCACTTAGTCGCCAACAGGCACGTCTCTTCCACTGTTCAGTACCCTCGCCTGCCCTCGCCCTTCCTCGGTATCTACCCCACATTCATCTATACGTGAATACATGCAACACGCAATGCCCAACACGCCACAGCGATAAATACCATCGGACAGTCAAACGCTTCAAGTCGTCGTAATATCCAAACGAGATTTTCGTTTCGTCACGTACGGGAATTTCACAAACAGCCCTGGAATCTCAGCATTCGGTATCATATCCGTATATATTTATTATTCGATGCCATTTCCACTGACGGAAATTTCATAGGAATAAAGAGGAACGAGAGAAAAAAACTCGTCAAAGCAATCGCCAAATGCCGGAGGCCACGGACACAAGTAGCGGAGGGAGGGGAATGCTTTCAAAGATTTTACTTTTGTGAGGGAATTGCGACGAATAATTTCGTGCAGAAGCTCTCAAAGGAGAACTCGTTGTAAATTAATTGCGGACTGACGGCAAAAGCCTCGTATTACACTGGGGAAAAAATTCGAGGAATTAATGGTCGTAAAGCGTCGATTGAAGACGAAATCTACTCAAGTGATTTCAATTCTTTAAAATTATTTTTACACATCATTTAAAAATGAGTAGTCCCTGGATTTCTAATCATTTCAGTGGAGGGATTTTCACTTTACCTCGACTTCTAAGACACGAACACCTTTTCGTATATGGCCTCCAGGTGTGTAGACACTCTCGGAAGACAGCCAGAGAAGTTTGGTGTAGGAGGACTCTACGCAAAACTCAACGGCAAGTTTCAAGGTCTCACCCTCAGCAACTGTTACGGTTTGGGACTCTGGATGAACCATCGGTCTTCCTGCAATTTGAATAATAGATTTTGTTGATTAGTGTTGATGACTTTTCATTAATCATTCGAATGGATGACTTGAAATCATTGCAGAGTCAAACTTTCCTATAAATCCAAAATCCCCAATTTGTATCAAAAGGAATTTCCATTCCATTGAACAGGATTCATTATAGACTAGTCAAAAGGGGATAATTGGTGGTGATGAACGAGAGCATTCAAAGGGCCACGCACTCCCATTAAAGTGATTATCCCAATTACCATCGCTCTCTCTCCCTCTGTCTCGTGGTCTGCAGAAATACGTGCAAATGATTTCCCCCGAAAGCTACAAAAACTAATTTAAAAATGATAATCTCTAGCAGTTTTCAAATCTCCTCCATCTCTGTCACGTCAATCTCATAATAACAAAAAACACGAAAATCCTCAATTGTTGATATTTATTTGCGTTTTTATTAGGCATCAAAATAAATATTACTTGGGGATGGGAATGGGAATGAAAACCCACCTGAGTGCATTCATAATGCCTCAACATCGTGATTTTTCATTTGATATTACCTACGTAGCCTTCCCTTTAGCTCCGCCCTAAGCTTTTACGCACGAAAATTTGGCTCCGACTCGCAAAAGCATAAAAACATGTTGCAATATCGAGACAGGAATGAAGTTATGACATCATCGAGGAATGAACGACGTGCACTTTGACTAATTGAAGCATGGAATACTGGCGTTTGCATTACGTCTACCTTCTCGCTGAATCCCATCCACCACCACTGGGGGAAAATTCTCGTGCTCCCCCTGCAAATGGTACACTCTCATCTGCATGGATTTGCTGGTTCGTAAAGCTAAGCTTTCTGACCTCGGTAACTGCCCCTCCCCTCTCCGCCTCTCTCCTCCCCGTCTACCGTCTGGTAGGACGTGTTCACTAAGAATAGAAGCTTGAACAGTGAATCTCGCCGAAGGGTGAGAGTTACTTCATGAATATTCGTTGTTCGAAATTACTTGAATATCTTGAATACGTTTCTGTGGGTTGATTATATGGTAAAATAGCGTCGGTAGGAGGGACGCTATGTGTAAGGATATTTCGTGACGTTGATGGTTTCATCAGTGAGCGGTATACACTGGGTCCTTGTGTCTATGACGATATATCAACGGGTTTGTGCTCGAATAATAGTATACGAGCGGGCCTGATGGCTGCGTGCGAGGGCTTAGTGTGAATGGTTGAAATTTTAAATGTATATTGAATCTCATATACTCATGTAGCAATGAGAGTGCTCAATTTTCCTCCTTAATCACAAATTTGGCATTACAGAAATGCACCTGTTTCCAGGTACTTAGTTGGCTTATGAAGCGGGAGAAAATTCAACGGTGAAAGCCGTTCGGCAAAAGGTTAAATCCGAGGGTGAGACCTCTCCGTGAATTATAGGTTTCAAGTAGACTGTCGTATTCATCCATTTAACTTCCTCGGACTTGCAACTTTCGAATGAGCATGGCCTTCGAAAGGAGCCTCTTAGCAAGTTAAATGAACTGTGTGAGAGAGGCGCGCGCGGGTGACTCAACTTGGAGTCATTTATTTCGTGGCTACAGAGGGGTAAAGAAAAGTTTCAGAGGATAGATTTCACTCTTCACTGATTTTTCATTTTGTTTTCAACGTTTTATCTCCGGCTCTTGTTTTCCCTTCTTTTTTTTTCTTTTTTTTTTTTTCAATGCTACATGTTGTTTTTTACGCATTGAGAGGGAATTAGCCGTGTTGATTTTAACGGTGTCACAGGCGTATTGACATGTACTCGATACATTGGATTTTCGTGCGGGTCGGATTTCCCTCCATTAACCGAAGATATAGAGATTTTTTTTGTTTCATTTCTCTCTTTCTCTCGTTCCTGCAGGCCGGGGTAATCAGTGTGTGAAATTTGTCAAAGCGCTGGCTTTCATTAAAATAATATTATTTTTCCGTTTAACGGATTTCGTCGGTATAATGAGACGATTTATGATCAACTTTAACCATTGAGGGGCTTATGAAAAATGGGAAAAAGTTTGGTGCACTCGATGGAATATTAAAAGATTAATTATTTTTTAAATGATCGCATTTTGCGGGGCAATTTGGTAGAAAAGAATTTTGTAACTTTCATTAAAGCGTCAATCACTTTTATTTATTTGAGGCCATGCTGGGAGTGAACAGTGGGAGTATTGGCTTTTACATGAAAAAACGAGAAATACCCGGGGAGGAGGTGCAGGAAAAAAAGGTGAAAAAAATACAAGAGAGTGAGACTAAATGCGATTTAAGAAGGAAAGAATTATTAAATTCCTTGCAATCAGTTCAGTGGAGCTAAATATGAAAAAATGCATTCTAAAAAGAATACGGGAAATTTTGGACAACAATTTTTAACAGCGTGTCGATGAAATTTCAATTTTTTTTCCAACAGTGCCTTCTTCACTAATTTTTCCTCGTCAAACTTCTGAAAAAATGGAAATTCCCCGTAAATTCCAAAACTTGACGATGGTCGAGTAAATGTAGAAACAAAATAGCCGATAAAATGACGCCCTGTGTCGCTCGTAAAGGAGTACGTGTGTCCCATAACTGGAAACCGCTACAAACTTCACCGGTTTGAGGGAAAATGTTGCAAAGTTTACTGCATTTCCGTCGCAACCCTACACCAGTACCGAGGGTAATCGTTTGTCCCTGGAAATAAGTAGAAAAGGACCATCGACCGACACAAGCCCAGAACTTGTAAAGTCCATTCTCCCCAATGACTTTACTTTCTCCTCGAAAAAACCCCTTGATTCCAGGAATGAAGAGATCAAACGGATCGGAAAAACAGTGCAATGGGGGAGACAAAAAAAAAACCAAACGCAAACTGCATTTGTTGGGTGTTCTAAATTTCCCGTGCGAGTGCTTGGACCATGATAACATCGAAATTGCTCATCGGAAACTGGAGATAATGCATTTCCATTGTTTCCAGGGTACGGTGTACACAAAATGCCGGAGAATGCTAGACCAGTGTGTTACCCAGGTGCTTATCGTTTCCTCATTGTTTTCAGTTTGTTCATTAAAACGTTCTAAGCATCTTTGCTTTAGATTTGCGGATAGAATGCCAGTGGGAATAAACAGACTGTGACGGGAAGAGAAGAAGGAAAAAATGTGGATTATCAAGGGAGGAAAAAAAACATTCTGTGTATTGCGAGGATAAATTATGAAATTGCAGCTTAACAGAAATAAATGGAATAATTATCTAGCAGGCGAAGAAAACGAATTGATTAACATGTAATAATCTTCCATTTGGGTCAAATAAATCTTGGAGCACACGACAAACCCCTCATGTCCTCATTGAGAAATTTTTCCCCAGACGATTGTCCTCAGGAGTTGTTTCCTCCATTTCACTTTGTGAATTTTCTCCGTTTGATGCCTGAATTCGATTTTTGTTCGGGGCCGAGGGTACCCCAGCCCCTTCTTTGATCTCTGAAGATGGTAAAAATATTCCCCCGGAATACTGCACGCAATGAAATTCCGTGAGACAAAGTGAGAGAGGGTTATTCTTCTTTTTGTGACATAACAGAAAAATTGCTATGGCAAATAACCCAGTTTGTTGAGTGGCATACGTACAATGTATTATCTCGTCGGATCGCGGAACTTTACCGGAAGATACAGGAAGAACTGGTGCATCGTGATGACTTGAGTTCCGATGCGAGGTTGGTTATGTATTCGTAGGCTGCGGAGAATGAGCTTACAACATCTGCCTACAATGTACCCTTTGACTCCAAGTTTGCGTTTGAATGCCACTTGTGAAAGTGGAACACACGTGATGGCCTCCATCCACTCAAAAACAGTGCACAGTGTACAGTGTACAGTGTATGCAGGGTCTGTGATTTTATGGTCAATGAGAAAATTCAATTACGCATACACTGTTCTAAGAAAAATTGAGCCCCAAAAATGTGCAAAGCTCAAAGGTCAAATCTTGATGAATGAAGTACCGGAAATTGTTGGAAATACAGTGTTCACCGTGACAAATAGTGCGCTGCTCCCTGGTTTAAAGGACCCAGCTCAGATGGCGTGCTTTCAATTTGTCACGGGTTAACAGGAGAGGGCGGCGGTTACGTAGAGAGGGGGTGGTTATTTCAGCGGGTGAATTTTCAACATCCGATCTTCAGTAGGTCTTCCTCGCCTCTCCACTCCACTCGGCACCCACACCTTTGTTCCCCGGGCGTACGTGTCTAGTGAAAATACGTCACAAGGCGGAGAGGGAGGAATGAGGGCCAAGGCGGTAGATTTTGGAATAAAGGGAGCCAAAGAGGATACATCGGGTGAGCAAAAGGGGTCGGTACGGGGTTATCTCTGTAATTGTGCCAGAAACCCCGAGATGACTCCCCCCTCCAAACTCGGCTTTTCTACTCTCAAACCAACTGGAATATATATTTCGTTTATTCACCCTCTCACTCTCTCCTTCTGTCCACGATCCAACGGAGAAACCCGGGACCAGTTACCCCACTCGGTATTTTCATCCCGAAAAGCCCACCATTCGGTGTGTGTGTGTGTGTATATATCGCCAGTTGAGCAGACCGATAAGGATAATAGCTGCCAAGTGGTGGCTTTCTCTACATCTATATAATTTCAACTCGGCTTTCTCAACGCTGATATTGTGATGCATATGGGATACTTGGGTTTATTAAAACGATTCAATTGATTTGAAATTATTGAATGAAAAATTGAGAAATTTCTCGTTTTGTGACCTTGAATTAATTGCAATTTTAATAATTAATTTGAAATATTCGAAAAATGATTCATCATACCTGAAGCCATAAGAAGCAGAAAAAGCCAGTTAAAAAGCCACTTAAAAAGCCAAGGCATCGATGTTCATTCCTCGGAAAAATCCCCAGTGACAAAATAAACTGTCCTCTCAACCTCCACCGAGAGGTCACTGTAGCACAGGGATTGTTTGTTGCCGGGAAAACAAATGGCTGACACGATTCACCACGATTGGGTGTGCGTAGTGAGGATATACGACACACCTGGGGGTAGTTTT